GTGAATAGTAAATGGTGAATCTTTAGTGACGGCAAGAGATTAGAAAATTGACTAAGTAGATGGATAAATGAGAATGATTTTGGGAGGTTAACCATTAAGAACATTGACCTATGAAAGGAAATTTCTAAGAACTAAAGAACCCAACGTGCATGCTATTAGAATAAGCAAATGAAAGTTAATTTAAAGTAAGCATATGATAATGATTAGAGTGTGAAAATGGGGAAGCGACTGAGTTAGGGGAATTATAGAATGGTGATACAGATTGAATTAATGAAAAAAATTTCTGCATAAGCTAAAGGTATATTATATATGTGGGTGCACGCGAGTGCAAGATTTGATTTGTCTTTGAGGAGTTGTTTTTTATTTAAATTTTCATAAAATAGGACTGACAAGGCAAATTGATTAGTAGATAGATACTTTCTTTGTGTTTTAAAGTTTTATGCCAAAAAAAATTTTGGAGAGCCAACTTGGAAAGCTTAGAAATGCCAAAATATTTTGTATAACTCAAAATTATTTGTGAAAGATAGAGATTCTCCGTAGAAATTAAAGGATGTTATTTCTTATTTTCCACACCAAGAAAATTTATCTATTAAAAAAAAGGTAGAGAAAGTAATTGTGAAAATTAACATTTGAAATTTGAAGGAAAAAAAGATTTTATTCACCATTTTGATGACATTTTTCCAGCAAGAAATGAGAAGTTTTGAGCAAGTACAAAATCATGAAATATACTTTTACACCATAATAAGTTTACTCGTGAGGTAGAACTTGAATTGCAAAAACTTATAAATTCTATACTCACCTGAGAAGTATCATGGAGTGGATTGGAATACGAATTTCTAGGCAGCTATTAGTGTGGAGCAAGGATGTATGTGATTGAGTCATCGTTTGAGATTAAAGAATTTGACTTGGCACTAGATAGACTGTAGTAGATTGATAAATAATATTTTCTACATCATTTTAATTCTCTTTATTCTTAGGTTTTGACACTTATTTTAGGTATTTTAAACATCATTTAGGTTTATTGGACTTAATGTATAATTTTGTAAATTTTTGAAATAAGTGTAAATAATGGTAATTTTTGATAAATTAATTTGGCACATAAAATCAATTGTGTTGTACATAATTGGGTATTTGGATGAGATTTTTTATTGCAGTACACAAAGAGAAGTCCAGTAGCAAGCTTGTCTATTCCTAATTTCCCATCTTATTTCTTTTTATTATTTTTATTTTTCAATTGCATTATCATACATTATGCATATATATATATATATATATATAGTTTAGTCTTATTTTGATTTATTAATTCTCTCCTTTGCCAGTTTTATTTTTTTAGCATTTAAATAAATTTTTATACGTATCTTATCATACTCACGTGCATCTTTAGACATATACTCACACCAGTTTAGAGCACTTTCATACAATGACACAATTGAGTCACATTTTTACGTTGCCAAACAAGGCTTGTGAATTTTGACTCTTTCATGAGCCGAGAATGTCATTTTTGGATTGGATGGAGTTTGTTTTTTAATTTGATTTTTCCTTATTCACATCATCTTCAATTTTTGGCTGAAACGATTGCGCTCTTTTTCTTCATTTTTCAACACCTTCTCTCCTCTATATCTCCACATCCAACCATCCAAATTAAGATCGGACTTCACCATTATATTTCTCTCATTGTCCTCAGCAAACCTCATAAGTTTCACCATGATTTATTGAAGAAAGTGCCACTTGAATTTTCCTCCTCAAGTGCCATCATGGACCGGTTCTTCAAGCTATCTGATAGAGTTTTGAAGCTCAAATTCATGAGTGGCTGGACTTCTTCCTTCCCTTGGAGATGGGCGCACCCATAAGTTATACTTCAATGAAAATTTTCTTCTCCTTTTACCTTTTTAATTCATGAATTGGGACTGATTTTGCTTGAATATTGTTGTTTTGTTGTTGATTTCATAAATGTTTGTCTAATTTGGACATTCTTGAGGTGTTGGAGATTAATTTTGTATTAGTTTGTTTGTCGGACATATTTAATTGTTAAATTTCTTTATTGAATTAAATTGTTAATTTCTTGCCAATTTATATAAGTGAGATACAACTTGTGCTTCTTATGTATGTGTTATGGTTGGAGCAAAGGTTAGGAGTTGTCCAAATTAATCAATCAAACAATTAGTTAATTTTTATAGCATTGGGTTGATTATTGTTGCTAATAATTGGCCACTAGTGATAATGAGTATTTTGCATTCAACTTTGAGAATTCTAGATATTTTTAACCCAACTAATTGGAGAGAAATTAAAATAAAAATTAAGAACAAGAATTAGGTAGCTAAGTCATTCAAAGAAAGTCTATACCGTTGATTTTACTCACACATTTTTACGCATTCATTTTACTTCATTCATTCCAATTTAAATTATTAAAATAAATAAAAAAATAGTAATAGCTTTTATTGGGTTTTTTCATTTAGCTTGAACAACCCATTACCTAGCTATTTTATTATTTTTTTACTACTAGAATTTTAGAATATCAGCTCCTTAAGGGATTCGATCTTGGTTGACCCTAAATTATATTAGAGTTAACTTTATTAATTTGAGCCTACATCATAAATATTATTCAAATCTAGGAGTATTGCAATTGAAATTGATAGACAAGGGTAAATTGGATTAAGTCATCAATCTTGATAAGGTTTAGAAATGCGAACATACACACACGCATATACGATTTTTGTGAATTATTATAGTGATATAGTTTTATTTTCATGCTCTTTGCGAAGAGTGCATCCATAAATGGAAGATTTTTATATATGTTTTGACAAACATTTTGTACCATTATTTACCTTTTATCACATGCGTGTATGTCTATATACACACTTAATAGTGAACGTTACATTTACCTTGCAAATTAATTAAAGTGATGTTGGGAGTTTATTGAATGTCTGAATCAAGTGAAAAAAATTATGAAATTATCTGGAGATGTGCGCAAAAGAAAAGTTGAAAACCAAAGATTTTTTTTTTTTGGGATTGAAAAGAAAGGATTTTTAAATAAGAATATTTTCCATCTAAGATTCTTTTTTATATATCTTTCGTTCCAACAAAAAAAAAAAGGATGACACAAAGGATCATTTTCAAAATTTCCTTAAGTCCAGCGTTCAAAATTAGACTTGTGAAATCCATTTTTTTATGTGGTTACAAAGGAAAAGGTCTTTGAATTATAGTTTACCAACATGTTTGAAACTTATATTCTCGTGTTTAGTGAATTTTAATATTTTGAAACGAACTACTTAGTTATTCTCTTTCTTTTTATATTAACTTCCAAGATTTGGAACACACCATAAATCCTTTCAAAAATATTTTTTTGCCCGTGAAATCTTACATTATAAAGGAATTTTTCAAAGATTATGAGATTTACAAATTCTTAATTTGTTTGAAAAGAATGAAAATATTAAAAATAACATGTAGCCAAGTGATTAATGTTGCTGGTAGGATGGAAATTGATTACGTGGAGGTTTGATTAATGTAAGAAATTTTGTGGAGATATTAGATTAAGTTGTGGATTAAAAATCAAAATAGAGATATGACATCAGGCCAAAAAAAAAAAAAATTAGGGATATGACATATTGTATTAATTGCATGCATTGTAAAATGATTTTCTTACATCTCTTAAAAAAAAATGCTTTTCTTGCATTATTGCATTCTTAAGAATTCAATTCTTACATAATTAGGTATTTTTATATTTTTGAAATTAATTAGAATTCATTCTTAGCTTAGGAATATTTTGGTCATTTTGGCAAATTTTGGAACATTAACCTAATTTGTGTCTTTTGTCTCATAAGATCAATGGAACAAATTTAAACTTTAAATTCATTATAAGTTGAAAAAAGATATCAAAAGATATAAGTTATAGAATGTTTCTAAAAAAATACACTAATATTAGGTTATTATGTTTTGTAATCTAAGACCTTAAAATAGCATTGTATTTTACAATTGGCTTTTAATTTTGATTTCAAATTTCACACACATGCTTTGATCATTATTGTGTGTATAATTGCAAATGCAAACAAAGATTTGGATGACAATTAAATGGCAAAAAGATTGGATTGCAAGACAAATTGCAAAGTAAGAAGACTTTAGAGTGATACATGTGCATGAGTTGATTCAAAAAGCTTTTTATGATTTTAAGTATGAGGGATTTTGACCAAAAGAGCCCTAATCGCCCTTTAATAATCTTTTTAAAAGTGTTTAATGAATTTTAATCAAGTGTGGAGCATCCCATATGAGCTACAAGTACATTCAAATTAACATGGTTGCATTCATTCTTATAACTCCTAATCAATTTTCTTAATTAGTTTTCAGATTTTCTTGGGCTTTCATCACCTAAAACCTACCCTATTTCATTTATTTACATCTTCACACGTGGAAGAAGAGGCTGGATTAAAATCACATGTATCATTCCTCACTTTCACACTGTAATTCAGGGAAACACACACTCTAATTCTCTCTCATTTTCTAGCTTCTCAATTTTGTTTTTCCACCTCTATTTTCTCTCATTCTCTTCACTTCCAACCAAAATTCTCTCATCTTAATTAAAGTTTAAAGCTATGAAAGTCATTAAAGAAAAAATTTTTACACGAATTCACTATTACAAAAAAACATTTTTTACATTGATTAAAAAAAATTGATGTAAAAAATATGGATGATAGTATTTTCATAAATAAAAAACTTTATAGAATACTTTCTATATCAATTATATATAAAATTGATGTAAAAAATATTTTTACATAAATTCTCATACAATTAAAGTAGAAGGTGTCTTGAAATTTTTTTTTTTAAAAAAGGTTTAGTTTCTACAGCAGCAGACATCATCTTTTATAAAAAGAATCTGATTTTTTTTTTAATCGGAAAAAGAAAATCCCTAACCCTTATTTTCCCTTAGCTCCCTCCCTTTCTCTTCAACTTTCTCCCTCTCCCGCGCCCCACAGCTCCCTCTCCTTTCCCTCACAGCTCCTCCCACAACTCCCAGCTCCCCTCGCCCCACAGCTCCCCTTCCCCCGACACCCCCTTGCGTACCCACCCCCCTCATCCTCCCACCCCCTCCATAATTTTTAAATCTCACACCTGAACCCCTAAGTCACCGATTGACATCGCTCATCCTTTCCTGTCTCCTCAACGACACCCCTGTTACTTCTCTTCACAATGTTGACGCCTCTTCTCTTCTTCTCGTGTGTTGCATCAACTTCCATGGCTTCTCCTCTTCTTCTCATGTGTTTCTTCTTCGATCTATGTGATTTCTGATTTATTGATTTGAACAGGTTCCATATTTCTTTTTCTATCTTGTTCGATTAAGTTTGAATTACAATTATTTTGCTGAACTCCATTTCAAACAGTGTGATTTCTTACTTTATTAGATTTTAGATCCTTGGTTTTTGAACAACGAGCAACTAAAAAATCAATGGGGCTTTCAAGATCTGAATCGTTACTGATAGGGATATCTAAGAAAGAAGGTCAGAGGATGAAACTCGAATGGGTGATTGTGAGATCTGTAATTATAATTTTTGAATCGGTGAGAAGAAGCGAGATTCAGAACTCATGATGCGCGATGGAGTATTGGGGATCCAGATGGAAAAACCAAGAGCTCTCAATTTGAATTTTAAGGGACTCATTCAATGCAAAGGTTGGCGATTTTGCAATCCTGGACCACATTGGGGTTGATAATGGAAGATTTGGAGGGGGTATTGAAATCGAGATCCTCGACCAGATTTGGAACAAGGTATTTGAGGATTTATATCTAAAAAATTATTGTGTTTTATTCATTCAGTGAGATTTATATCTAAAAAAAACACAGGTTCTTAGCATATTTATCATTATTATATTATATTATTAATTAATTATTGATTGGTTGATCTCATATTATTTTATATGTTGTCACCGAAATAGTAAGCTTCGTCGCCTTCCTTCTACTTCACAACACTATATATATATATATATATATATCTTATTGCGAGTTATTTTAATTTTAATCTTGAAAGCTATATGTACAATTATACACACACGTACAGGGAGAGGGGGTATCCAAATTATTAACACTAATTTTCAATTATTCATGAATACACACACACACACACAGAAACACCCCTCCCTCAATTTTCTGAAATCTATTTTCTTGATAATTATTTTTTTTATTAAACTTGAATTGTTTCAAATGTTATATAAGTTTTATCAATGGGCTTAGTATGTGCGTTTTTCCCAATTTGATGTGACATTATAAAGGTATATACTTCTTTAATGGAAAGTATATTTGTGCTCAACTAAATTTTGGGTTTGCCTGGACCTTTCTAAATTGCTTGAAGGGCTTACTTATAAGATACTATTTTGTATGAAAAGATATGTTTATCATTGATTATTTTTTGTATATTGCAGAAAATCTAAACACCACGTCCTATGAAGACCAAGCCTAGATTGCCAATCAGGTATTTAGTTTTTAGTGTCCGTTTGAATTTTAGTTGGGTATAATAGATCATGAAAATAATTGATTAAATGGTACTTTCTCCATTCAAAAATATAAAGAATTTTTTGAGGAGTTGAATGTTTAAAAATATAAGGCATTTTTAATCTTTCGTATTGTAATCATTACTTTTTTTTTTTCAAAAGTGTCCTTATTGATGAATGATTTTATATTTATTGTAGGGTGTTTAATAGAGGTAAATATAGAAAGACAAGGTTAGTGTGAAAATAGATAACTACTTTATTGGGGGTGAGATTCTAGTAAAAATGTCTTATATTTTTGAACGGAAAGAGTAGATTTTAATTATAATTGATTATGTTATAACTCAATCTATCTATATATTATTTTTTTAAAATTGATTTTAACAAAATTGAAGATGTTTAGATAATTTATTTAAAATTAATTTTAGTTGTGTAAATTATCATAAAGGATATTGCCTTTCAAAATTAAATTATTGATAAATTTATATCTAATATTATTAAAGCTCTTACATTTTATTTAGGAAGTAAAATATATTATTTAAATTACATATCCAATTAATTATAAAAATTTAAATTATATTAATATTAACAATTTAATTTACATAAATAGATAACTCAGCATATCTTAGTTCAAATAAATTTAATAAAAGAAAAAAAATTCAATTCTTAAATATCAAACATTAATTTTATAATAATTAATGAAGATGATAATATATAAATTGATCTCTAGTGACATCATAGATATGAGTTATATTTGATAAAGATGTTAAGCACTGTTTGGAATTTTAGCGACATGAAAAATGTAGCAATGTAACGAATGATGCAAAATCTCTCTTTCTGTGGACCTTTGCAACAATCTTTGTAATAACCTTAAATTTTAAATTAAATTAAATTAATTTTCTTCTACCAATTAATATTTTATTTGAATTAGTTTTAAAGTAAGTGCTAAGTGGAGGGTGGTGGTTGATGGGAACTTATGCTAACAACTTTTTTGAGAATTCAAAGTTTTAATTTTATTGAAAAAAAAAAGAGAAGAGAAGAGAAGAGAGTTTGGTTTGTTTTTATTAAATTTTGTGCTTTATAATTTTTTCTGGGGCCTTTCTTTGTAAATTTTCCCAACGCTTTTTGATTCAGAAGCTCAAATTGCTAGCTTTTGAAAAAAAATCAATTTTAACCAAAAAATCGATTACGGGCTGTTTCAGTTTTTGGATAATAACTCAACTAAATTGATTTTTTGAGTCAAAAAATAGATTATATACGTATCCAAACACGCATTTAATCGTGAAAAATTAATTTACACGTCTAGTGGACATGATTGATAATGCAAGTCTGCTAATGAGTATAAAAGTACATATCAAAGCATTGAAAATCGCACGGATGATATTAGTGCTATTTAGAATTTCCGTGGTTGGTGGTTATGATGTCAATTTTTAGTGTCTCAACTCAGGATTTTAATTTGTTCCTTCACTGCATTCCAAAAATCAGTTACCCTCTTTACCTTATAAATAAGGACTTTACAATGGTATTATATACAAAAATAGACTAATTGTACCTGATGAACAAACAAATTTGGTCCCTTGGATCATATAACTCTCAATAGTTCTGGTATACTTTTGATTCTTTCTAAAAAAAATCTTGTTATGGTGTCATGTATATGTCATGTGGGTGTGTTTCTATTATATTTTATAAGTAAATGGCTTTAATTTGGTAATTTTATTGGAGTTGAACATCTATAGGTTACATAAGCATTGATTGTGGGGCAGAGGAGGTCTGCCATAGAGACTCCCATGTAGAGGTGCGTAATCCCTCTATCCTTGAAATGACTTGAGTGTCTCCCATGCATGATTTTTTATCTCATACGGTTCAACCAAATCAATGAAAAGAAGTTATATTTGACTTGTCAAAAACAACAATAATTTTGAAGGAAAGTGAATTTGATATCCAATTTTTGAGCTATCGATCTTGCACGATGACCTTCTCATGCTTGATTTTGGATCATCTCATTTTTTGGCTGGACATCAATCCCAATTCTTAAATCAAGATTGTTTGTCTTCCCTGTACAGCATTAAACAGATAACTAAACTTCTAGCATGACAGATGAAAGGGTCGAAATTTATTAGTTGTATTCATGTTGAAGTTGTATCTTTTGCAGCAAATTTGAATTTGTTTTCATTTAGGATCATGAAGAATTGTTGTAGATTGTTAGGATCTGTAGAATCATTGGCTCTTGGGGATCTTATTTATCCTCCCAGATTGTACGTGAATTTGATTAGACTGAGTTATTTTGCATTTGATGGGTTATCCAAGTACCTCAAACTCAAATAAAAAGGCCCAATAAACCACACCAAGAGTTTTCTGTTGAAATTATTGATTCTATGAGAACCATCTGATCCTTCTGCTTGTTATGATTCTTCTAAAGTCTAAACACACTTTCATGAAAAGCGGGGGAAGAAATTACATGAAGCATATGTATGCCTATTTGGTTTTGTGTTGCTGAACTATTTTTCATGTAGGAGACTAATGAAGGGAAGGAATTGAAGGAGGCATGCATTCAAGGTTTTTGACAAAGATCAAAATGGCCATATATCAAGTGATCAAGTAGTATGTATATATATTTATATATTTTTGTCATAATTTTATTTGTTTTAAATTTACACCTTTGTAACTGTTATATTTATATTTAATATTTAATAAAGGGTAAATATAACTTTTGGTCCCTATATTTACTGGCAGTTTGCATTTTTTTTTTCCCGGTGTTTTAGATTCCTATACTTTTATTTTTCATTATTTTGGATCCTTCTAAGGTCTCTATACTTTGCTCATAGAGGGATCAAAAGTAATGAAAAACAAAAGCGTAGAGACCTATAACACCGAAAAAAAAAAGTACAAGAACCAAAAGCAAAACGCGAGTAAAGTACATGGATTAAAAGTTATGTTTACCCTTTAATAAAACAGCTAACCATTGTGCCATTTTGGTTGCTTCCATAACAGTATATTTAATATATTGTCATATTGTCTATCATTTAAAAAGTCATAAATTTTTGTTAACTTGTCTTTATTGGGATTTATGTTGGATTTATTTCCATTAACTGTTGAGGAGCATGGACATTGACCGCAATATGACAAGTTTTTAATATACTAAACATTATAGTCAAGTTTTTATATTAGTATCTTATGCTGATCTAACTGAAGAAATATATATGTATCTCTTGAAATAATTTATAGGGCCTTTTTATTTATTTTAAGAAATTCAATGTTTTTGGATGTTTTAAAATTATGTAATCATTAAAATTCATAAAGTCTATCAGTTATTATGAGATATATTAGAATTTATGCAATGATGAAAATATAGGGACATTTTTTGGATTGGAGAAAAATGCCCCTATTTTTTTTTTTAAATGCCACTTTCTACACTGGTTATAAAGATAACAGGTGTAAAAAATTTACTTTCTACACTGGTTGTAACTAGAACACCTATTGTCTTTATAACCGGTGTAGAAGGTGCCCTTTCTACACTGATTTTATAGAAAGTTAACTTTTTACGTTGGTTACAAAACCGGTGTACCCCCTCTTTCTACACTAGTTCTAGAACCAGTGTAAAAAGCCATTTTTATTTGGTGTGAAAAGTGTTTTTTGTGGTAGTGATTGTAAAGGAAACTACCATGAGAGTCCAGATTTCTTAAGCTTTCCAAGGACATGAAGCCACTACTTTAGTCGTTAAACCTTTCCTTTGATTTCAGTTTTTTGTGATTCTTCTCATCTTCTTCTTTGATTCTTTGATTTGGGTTCTTGATGATTCAATCTAGGTCTTGGTTGTCATCTTGACCAAATTTCTTGTTTAAAGGAGAAAAATATGTGATTCTTGACTTGGTCGTGTACTTAAGGTGTTTGTGTTTATGTTTCAAAGTTTTGATGTGTAAATGCACTTCATTTCAATCTCTTGCTATGCTTATCCATGACATTAGCTTATATTTAAGTCTTAAACTCAAGTTAATAACATAATCTTGATTGGTTTAAAGTGTTTTAACATGATCATGGCAAAAGTTAGGATCAATTTCAAGAGTTAGATCATAGATTGGCATAGTCTTAAAGGTATTTGTGCATTGATCTAATCATTTGTGCCTTGTCCTAAAGGTCATTGGGTTGGCTTTGCTTGCCATTTTATGCTTCCTTCGGATTAAATGACATAGGGTGTACTGTCAACTACATCTTAGTTTTCTTTGAAGGCCTGACATGACTAAGGGCATTTCAGGATGCCTTTGTTTGTAAGAAATAATTGAACTTGTCTTTCTGTAGTATATTTTGGAGAATGGTTCCCTAAGAACCTATTTGAGATATGAAAATGAGTTGTGTAGTAACCATTAGGAAACTTAAGGGGTATATTTGGGTAAGTGGAAATATCGATTGGGGTCAAGATCAATAAAATGTCATGTAGATGAATGAGTTTTTTTTTTCTTTCTTTATTGTTTTTTTTTTTTAAGGGTGAGAAATGAAAGAATCATATGATTAGTACTTGTACTAACAAGTTGAATTAATTGAGGTATGTAACAAATGGCAGAGTTGACGAGATAATTTTTGAAAGCTTTGAAAAGATTTTGAATGGAATATTATGCCAAATTCAAGACAAATAAGGTACAAGCAAAACTGGATAATGGCGCCTTATCATACCAGGGCCTAGGATAAACATTGCAAGTAAATTCTGAGAAAAGTGAATTGAGCAAAAGGATAACTTGGAAGTGAAGTAGAAACCAATATAAAATTTAGAATATATAGTACTATCTTTTAAAAAGTTTACATTGGTCGTAAAGGAACTCATTCTAATTAGTAGATTTGTATGGAATTGTGTACATGTACTAAACGTGATTTTTGTGTGGTAAATGTGATTTCATTGATAGTATACACTTTGAATCTAGTTATTAGAACCCTAATGAATAAAAGATGAATGGTTGGACTCATGGAGTAAGATCAATGGATTATGGGAAATGTTATAAAGGAAATAGTTATATAGGAAATAATTTTTGGATATTCACGTGAAAAGGAAATAAGAGAAACTTGTTTATGTTGATTATGGTTTTGAATTTTGGGGACTGAATTCTCAAAAGTAGGGAAGAATTGTAACATTTTAATTTAAATTTCAGGAGTCAATTAGAGGTAATAAAAATTAGAGAGAATGTTTGAAGGTAATTGAACTAATTAAGAGATGATTTTTTAGCTTAACTTAGATATAATTTCAGTTAAGATTTTTGGAAAGATGAAAAAAACTTATAAGGTTTGGTGGGATTAATATATATATATATATATATATGTATGTATGTATGTATGTATGTATGTATGAATTATATCCCACTAAAGAGATAATATTCATTTGGATATCATGAAAATTATGTTAAAAAAAACTTATCCAAGCAGAGTTTTATTTTGGACTAAAATATAATTTTAAATATATGTTAAAAAATTATGAAAGAGAGTTAGAATATTTTCTAAGTCAAATATACAAAAGAATAAGAGTGAGTGATGCAAAATAAAGATAGAAAAATATATGTAATACAAAAGGGGCGAAGAGTGCATGGTGGGAGAAAAAGATTTTTGAAAAAAAAAAATACTATAATGAATGGTGAAATAACTGTGAGCCCACTTGGATATTCAAAAGGAAAAATTTTTGTTTGGACCCTTTGACCACACTAAATTAAAAAGTGAGGTCCAAAAACTCTAAAACTTCACTTCAGTTCAAGTGTAGTGAAATAAAATTAAAATGTTGAGGGAAATGATAAAATTAACCATCTTTTAAATCCAAAAAAATAAAACCATCAGAATTGCGCTAAGCACCCATGATATAATATCCTAATTTTTAGTTATAAATTAATTAAGAAAATAAGAGTATTTAAGTATTTAATTAAGGGAATATGTGTAATGAGGAGTTAGTTTATAATTTTGTTATTTCAAGGTATTAATTGAGATATCATGCGTGATTGAGGTTTATCAAGATTAATTAATTGTTTAGGCACTTAATTATAATCAAAATTGGGCTAAGGATCATGTATGAGATTGATTTGGGGTCCAAATTCCTATAATATTGGGTTTAAGTAAAAATTTGCAAATTGTACTGTTCGCTGCAGCAAACAGCCAACTTTTTTTTTTTTTTGTAATATCAGATTTTGTCTTGAAAAACAAAAATAGAGGGAGATTTTGAGAATTCGGGGTGCAAAAAACTTGTGTCTCCCATCATTTAGGCTTGATTTTGAGCCTCCAATTACTAAGGCAAGCTTATCTAAACTTATCCCTACCCTCTAAGGTGAGGGTTCTAGCCCTTGGGTTCGAATTTTAAGATCTATATTTGAGGTTAAATAAGTAATATTTAAATTATTTTCATAATGATAATCATTGTAGGGTGTGTATATCCAAAACCCTAGGTTTTGTTGGGTGATTTAGATTGAAATTGGAGGTTTATGTGTAATGATGCTAGAGATGATTAAGTTCTAACGTATGTTTAAATGGGTTTAATAGTGTTGGTTGAATTAAACTAATTAATTTAACCTTAGATTAAGGTGTGATTAGCGCTAATCACAAGTATTAACTATGTTTAGCATTGTGTTGTGTGTAGATAAAGCTGTGGAAGGTGTTGGTAGTAAGAAGTCACTTGCCTGAGAAACTTTGATTGCGAGGAGCAAAGGTAACTTCTACTATTATGCCATAATGTGTGTGGTTTAATTAGTTATATGTGTTTTGGTGAAGTAATTTGTTGCATGGAATATGTGTGTGTGTGTTGGTAGGAAGTAAATTATTTGTTTGGAAGTATGATGAAATTGTTTAGATGTATAATTGTTCAGAAATATCTCAAGCATGTCTAGAAAAATATATAACTATTGTTTGGAAAAATGTATAACTGTTATTTAGAAAAATGTATCGCTAATGGGATGTAAAATTGTATATAAGTATGTTGGGTATGAAATTATGATTTTAGTGGAAGTGTGTTATTTTTTAGCAATTGCATTTGTTTGCAAATTCTATCTGCATGCCGTATATGGGTTTTGTTAGGAGGACGGTTAACGTTGAGAATTGAATTTTGTGCCTCGTGGTATGACCTCATTTGGAAGCAATAAATGACTTTTATAGCTTCGACTAGCTCACCTTTGCCTGAGTAGATTAGGTGCCAAGCATGGACACCAATCCAAAGGGTATGGAGGAGATAAGTTATTTGGTGTTCTTATATTTAAATTTTTTGAAAACATGTTTTGTATGCCCACTTAGCAATCGCAAGATTAGTTTCATCACATGCATTATGGAAAATTATTATTAGTTACTAGCACCTTTGTGTTTCATTCTTCGTGGTTAATATTTTTATAGGAGAGGGTCATCCAAAGAAGTACTGGAAGCATAGTATTGTGTTGAACCATGTGTTTTGATAATCACGAAACCAAGAAAAAGGTGTTTGCCACTCGTGCAAATTGTGAGAATCATTGAAATAACAAAACCTCAAAAGTATGAAGATCAAGAGAAGACTTAGTTTAATAAGATGTTTATTTTGTTCTTTTAGATTTAATTGTGAAAACTATGAAAGCTATCATATGATTTGAAAATGATAAAAATACATCACATTAGAATCAATCTTAGGCTCATAAGTTCTTTGATCTTAAATGTTAAACCTTTAAGCCCTGTTTGGATAAAGTATTGAATTTTACAAGATTGAGAATGGGATTGGGAGTGGTATTGAGGGTGCCATTGGAAGTGAGAATAAATTTTAAAATGATGTGTGGTATGTTGTAGAAATAAAAAAAATAACACTAAAATCAAACAAAAATTAACTAAAAAGACACAAATGCCCTTGTCCTCTTCCCTAACTAGTAGCTATCATTGAAGGCTTTAGATTTTGCTGGAGTAACCTTGTCAACTTATAATTAAACCCTCATACACATAAGCAGTTCTTTAAGGCTTCTATCTTTCTCCTACTCCCATCCAATAGAGCAATTGCATGTACAGTCAGCAAGCAAGACCTATTAGAAGAACTATTCAATAATACATAGGAATAAATTCAATTTAACCTTGTGCTAGCGATAAAGCTAGCTTTAGTTTAGATGGAAGGAATAAGGAATACAAATAGCCTTAGATTTCTCGTTGAAGACCTTAGACTACCCTCTTAAACTTGAAGAACCTAGAAATGAATCATAGCCTCATTTAAGGTCTCAGATTTCTTGGATGTTGGTGCTCAACAAACTTGGCATAAATCTTGAGAGATAAAGATGAGTTGGTCTAAGCTATTGATTCATTGAAAGCTAAGGATGCTTTTAACGTGACATTATCGAAGAAATATCTCACACAGTTGTCATCAAAGGCGATGTTTCTACATCATTACAATCTTTAGAGGTGAACTCAAACTTGAACCACTAACCATTAATGGATCTCAAACTTGAACCTAACTGCCATTGATAGTCATTGCTATTACTATTAATAGAGGGAGAAGTTAGATATGTTCATTGATAGAAGGAGGAAGATGAAGGCCTAAAGAGAATAGAGAAAGAAGAAGAATGAGAGGTAGAAGATCTGTTTATCAATAGAGGGTATTTTGGTATGAAAACTTTCAATCATAGGTTTAAATTTCCAATGCGACTTCCCCTATAGTTTCATTAATCCCACTAACATAGGTTTCACTAAACCTAAGGAATAAGGAGACCACCTTACCAAACACTTAATCAGTGGGTTTTTGTAATGCTCTCAACGACATTATTATATGATCCTCCTCGCAAACTATTAATCAATTCAAAATCATTTATGTTAAAAGTTTGGGATCCCAAATAAAACATTTTAAAAATCATTTAATATTATATTCAAGTTGTAAAATATTACATAGCGGAAGATTATACCATAACATCTCAAGGTCAATAAGATAACATGTGCAGTATAACCAAATTAAGACACAAGAGGGACCATGTGCCACGGCTTGTGCCACATGTGTCATGGCATGTGGCACAGAGACCTAAGTTGCCCGCTCTGTGCCATGTACCACGGTATGTGGTCTTTCGTTGATACATGCATCACGGTGTACGTATTAGAATTTGCTGTTAAATTTCAGATTCTGATACGAACTTTGGAAGTGCGCCGTTTTTGCATCTGATGTTCAATTGGGGTGGTTCAAGCGCCCACATGAAGTTTGTTGCAAAATCTAATCAATGACATTGGTTTCATTTCAATATGATATTTCATTCAAAAATTGAACATTTAAGTGCATTTTGACGTTTTAAGTTAATTTACTAGTTGAGCAACACCAATCGAAATCACAAGTTTTTGGCTACTTTTAGGGTCTTGACCACGTTCAAATAGATAATGTACACCTGATTGACTAATTATATATACAATATAATACACATACACACATTTGGCTTGTAAACCGCTCATAACACATCTGTAAACATATCCTCTAGCTCACAACATCATTTTCACAGCATACACACACATATAGACATACAGTGGGCTAGATCTCAAAAATCACACATACACACACATTCACAAGTGATGCACAAGGGTTGGTTCTTATGGAAACTTATATACAAACCACTACTATTATACTTGATTTCATTACACCAGCTTACAATGGGCCTTTTAAAGGAATCTCTACTCAGCCTGTTTCCTTTTCTTTTGGTCTACCAGTACTAAAACTTGAAAAGTATAAATAACATGGGTGAGATTAAAATCTTGTTAACTAATATAGCTCATTCAATGTCTATTAGCACAAATAACCATGTTAAAGTAGTAAAAACCAAAGTATAGCATATTTATTTATCATAACATAGCTTAACTCATAACTTTCTCATATAAACCATTTTTCACACATTTTCACACACTAGCATGATCATTTATTCACCGATCCTTCAAAATTTGCTGACATGAGACCATAGACTCTATTGGGTCAATCACTCATTGACCTGAGCACGCTTTCGGTAGTAGAAACACTTGGCCAAAGGTAATCTATCCCACCTTCGGATTATGGTTTTCCTCATTTCACAGACTTATGATAGAGTTGTCGTTGACACGTAACCGTACCCTAATGGGCATTAGAGAGTTGCTAGACTGTCCAGATGTTCCATGGTAATAGTCCCAATATAATGTTGTACCGGATTACCCATGGTACCGGCCCGTATAATGCTGCATTGGATGTTCCATGATACTAGCCTGACCATATGGATTTGTTCACTTACATCCCCCCTACACACGCATTCACATATATTCTGGGTGAACTCTCACCCCCTATGATCATGCTTGTTCACATTTCACAACATATCAATTACTATTTTCATAATTTTCATTATATACTCATACATAAATATGTACATATACATATCAATCGAAACCAATAACTTTCAAATTTTATTTCACAAATCGATTTTCATGTTAAAATTGTTTACAATACCAAATTATGCACAAAACTCATAAAACAACAAATTCACCATTTCATATTTACTTCTACATAGTTATAATAGCTAATCAATATAGCAAACTATATGGTTACCTCAATTTTTCTGTCTAATAGAAAGGGTTACCCATGTTCCACAACCCTATTCAAGTTCCTTTTGCTATTCAACTCGTTGCACACAATAATTTACATAATTTAGGCACCTAGAGTCAATGACCTCATCGACTAAAAGTGCCAACTACAGCAATTTAACACCTAATCACTATCATCTCCCTTAATCACATTCATTCACGTGCATTACTACCAAATATCACTCAGAATAAATATCAATTTCCTCACCACCAAATTCTTTTACTATTCTCTCTCTAGATTAGGTCAAATCAAATCTAAACCTTTAAAATTTTATTGTTCCGACTTAAACCAATTACAAAGTAGTAGTTTAGTCCCAGAGGACCTCTCTATTATTATGGGGTAAGAAATTATCTCCTTAAAATTTCAACTTCAATTTCTTACTAATTTAAATTAAGAGAAAATACGGTAGAATCGGAGGTTAAGGCAATACGAGACTTACCTAATAAATAACAGGTCAAAAACGTCGTCCTTTCACTCGAAAATCATTGCCCTAGCAGAGGTTGGCACCTTTTCCACACTTGACCCCTCTTCACTTGATCTCTCTTATGTTTTTCACGAGCTGGATAGATTCTCACTTATTAGAGTTTTGCACCATGCACCGTGGCGCATCCACCCTCAGCCATGGCGTGTGGCACAGTGAGGAAAATCTTTACTTTGCTCACCCGCTCTTGTTCGCAATGTCATTCCTCCACTCATATATATTCATATAACATTTCAATGAGTCAATACAACATTTCACTATCCAAAATTATTAATTCATTCCGTAATCAGTCATTAAAGTAGGATTAGAAATTCGGGATGTTACAATTTCTCTAATCCCAGTCCCAATCCAAACCTTTCAATGCTTCTTACTGAACAAGGCTTTAAAATGCACTTGAGTTCATTGTTCCAATTCATGCTTGATTTGGCTAGATCTATGCATGTTTTGGCTATCCATAGTGCATGATAGGATTTAGTGGATTCAATTCAAACTTGAAATAGAATAAATCTTGCTCGAATTAGATTATAAAAGTTAGACAATACACTGTAAGTCATTTCACGTTTGAATAAAAAATGATTCACGTATGTTTTGGCAAGGAAGTGTAGGAAATGTCTTAGAGATGCTTCTATGATCTAATTCAGGCTTGAGTGCAATTTGTTCTCTCATGCTTGAATTGTCAAATGTGTCAACTTGAGTTTGCCTTAGTGACATTTCACTCTTGAATCAGGGTGTGATTCACGCTTGAAATGTAAGATGCCTTTTTTGGGTTCAATTAAATGTGTAGAGCTTTAGAATTGAACAAGCCAAATCAAGCTTGATTCAGTGTGTTTCAAGCATGTTTTGTCTCACAGAGAAGCTAAGTGCTCTTGTTATCCATTTCACAGTTGGATGCATAGGTACCTACATGTGATTTGACTCATAAAAAGGCTAACTGCTTCTACCTTTCAAATCCCGCTTAAGAGCATAATAGTTCCATACTTGAACTATCATGAGTGAACCAGAATCATTTAACTTAGAGCCATTCCATGTGTATTTTAGATCAATTCATGCTTCAATTGGCTTCTGACATTGCATTAAATTTGCAGGAAAAGTAGTTTTTTTCTAATATTCTTTAGTTCTACACACCTTAAGGGCTATAATCTCTTCCTTAAGTATTCCTAATGGTCTAAATTACCTAACAGTATAAATAAGACCTTATTTAAGTGAGTGAGCAACACATTCGTTGATTACTAAGGGTTTTTCATTGAATTCTTGCCTACGTTTTGTCAGTTTTATGAAACAACTCTCATAAGTTTATAAACTTTTTTTGTATCATATCTAATCTTTTTAGAAAGTCATTTTGTGAAAAGATTATTGTTTTTCCAAAAGTTGAAATCTTAGTAAGAGATTTTTCTAAGTGTATTGTAACAGCTTGCTGGTGTAGCAAGTGTTGTTGTTGAATTAAGATTGGTGTATTCTTAAGGACTAGATGTAAGCAAGTGGCAAAGCTAAACTAGGATAAATCTTGTGTCTTGCTTTTCTTCCCAAAATTCAAAATTCATCAAGTTCTAATTTGCACTTTATGTCTGCTTTCTTCAAGTTAGGAATAAGTCTAGTTACATGTTTGAACATCTAATTCACCTTACCTCTTAGGTGTCATCCTGATCTAGTATATTGGTGTATAAGACACCATTTATTTTGCTAGGCCACAATTATGTTTTTAATATTGATATTGCCAACATTAGGGAACTAACTTTGTAATATGAGCATGTGACTCTCTATTTTTGATTAAACTCATATCCAGTTGTGATGATATAGTTTTAACATTCATGGCTATATTTTATTGTGATTAAATGCTTTAAAAAGAATTTTGGGGTAAACTATTAGATTATAGTGAATTATATTATTTTACTATATAACTATGTTGAGTGGCTGTAACTCAAATGTAGGAGTCCTAAATGTATGTGCCAATATGTGGATTAAATTTTTTCTTTGGCATGTTTGTGATGTGGTCAAGTGTCTTACACTTTAGCTCTTGGCCTTGGATTTTGGTTTAAGAAGTGTAACGTTATTTGGAAGTGTGTGTTATCCCTAAATGGGATATCATGGATAAAATTCTTATATAGAGGAATTTTTGTTGAACAAAAGCCATTAGCTATATTATTCAGAAAGCTTTGTGTGGATCCTTGAATCATTCGAATTGGATATGTGTATGAAAAGTTATGCCCTTTCAATGTTTAATTGCACTATTTTTGATAAATATGGCGCTATGCACCTTGGCGAACGGCATAGAGGGGAGAATATCCACTCTATGTCATGCACTGTGGTGCATGGCTAGTATCAAGGGAGTGTCGCTCTATGTCTTCTACTACAGTGGATGATGTGTTGGCCGTGGCAGGTGGCTCCTTTTTACAAAAATGCCTTAGTGCAGAAAACATGTGCTTCCTCTCCTTCATCATCCAAGCATTGAATGATTCTATAAGGTTTGTTTTTTTGTTGTTCTATCTCTAGTGCTCAAACTTGTTATCTTGTCCTATCTCTCTTGTATGGTCCACTCAATGGCATCTGTCCACATAAATAATAGGTTGAGCATATAAGAATCTTTTAGAAGACCATAGATGCTTACCAATGCCTTTTGTTTTTCGCTATAGGCTTTTTAATAGTTGAGTCTGACCCCATAATCCCTTTCCAAGCCTTTTCATACATCATAGGGCACCTTGTCAATGTTGAACCTTAACTCATCTACTATGATTCCTAAATTCATTTTGCATCTCTTACTATGCAGGACAACTAGGTTGTCTAGTGCAGTGTGGAGATGTTCTGGCTTAAATGACGTTATTTGTAGCAATGAATTTTCCTTACCCACCAGATTGGCTAAGATTTTCCAAGGACAATCCTCTACCTGACACTTTGCAATTATCCTCTTCTTATTGTTCTTCACCAAGCCGTAAGAAAAGTTGTGAGCTACATTATACTTGAACAACATATCTCTAAAGTCATCACCATAAGGAAATGTTTGCCCAATTGACATAAACAAATCCTTCCACTTCAAGCCATTCATCTTAGGTATTGGTGTAGGCAAACTATGTTCAACTAAGCTTTCTACATTGCAGGATCTTTGTGTGTCCTAAATGCATGAACTTGGTGGCACACTTTGCAAGGGAGAAGGAGTTTTTGTTGTTACCAAATTGGGAGGACTCAATAAATTTCCCTCTGCAGGTCCAACAACTCCAGTATGCTGTATTAACAAGTGTTGAAGGGAAATTAACAACTCAATGTATGTCAACTAATAATTTTGTTAATCTAAATTTTAAAATTACAGAAAAGCCAATTCATAACTTACTCTTGTTGGATGTCTAATTGCGGTATTTCTCCAACATACACATGATCATTAGTTTTGTTGTCCTCAATTAGTTGATCAACTCCAACATCATCTATAAGATCTCATAATGTCTCTCCAACTAGAATCACTTTGTACTTCATGTTAAAATCCCTATATTCAAGATATAGCTCATTTGCTACCATACTTTTAAGTCCTTTGTATGTCACCTCTTTATTTATCCATTTTCCAACTACAACACCACCCACATAAATCATATTTCCCCTTACACTTTTAAATTCCCCCTCAAACAGAAGATGTAGTATAGTTCGTTCCCAGATGAACTAGCCATTTATCACTAGTCTCTGCACATGTACATGTTGAAATTGAAATTACTTAGCAACACTTTATAATTGGACATGTAAACAACTACAGTAGGCAAATTTACAACTCATACCACTGTTAATTTTACAAGTTAATAATTAAAGTAGGGAAATTTACAACACTTGGCAAATGAATAACAAAAACAAATATAGCGAAAAGGGGGTGATAATGATAGTGAAAAGAATCATATTTCATTATCATGGGGAAGAGAGGACAGATGCATGAAGAAGCCAAAGCAACTCATTCAATCAATTATGCAAGAGAATCAGAGAGGGATTTTTGAAGCCCATTATAGAAGAGAATCAGAGGTTAGAGAAGTTACTAGTTGATCATGATATTAGAGAAGGCAAAAGAGAGGGGGAAAGAGAGAGAGGGCCTTCCCGCATGATTTTGTCTCTTCCTTTGATTTTCCTTCACTATAGATTATGCATTTTGTTTTCTTTTTCAATAGTGACAATCAGATAATTTTAATTGTATTTTAATTTCAATTCAATACCCTTTTACAGTGAATTTTCAGAGTTTTTAGGGCTCCCTTTTTAATAAAGTGTGATCAAGGGATCTAGAATGAGATTTTCCCTTTTAAAATCTCTCAACACCCATGCCAATCCAATATACCCCTCCCTTGTTGTGCTCAGCTTCTTCTTCTTCATGGTTCTAGTGGCGTGTGCGAGAGTGAGATTGAGAAAGAGAGATTTTTGGAGCTAGGCTCTATTATATGATATTTAGAGTATGATTTAAAGATTTCTAAAGTTAGGTAAATATCCAAAATATTTTTCTAATTACTTTCTTCCCTTTCGTTTTTGAATTTTTGATAGTGAAGATTTGAGGCTTTTTATAATTTCAAATTTGGGATTTTTTAGCCAATTTATTTTATTTTAAATATGTTAATGGAATTAGATTAAGTGTTTAATGAATTTAGATCTGTTCAAATGTTTGATTTTGAGGATTTGAGGTTAGGGTTTGTAAGAAAGTTGAGGTTTAATGTGGTTGATGATATTCTAATGCTTGGGTTATGTTTATATAAGTTGGAATTGAGATTTAATTGGTTTAGAATTTATTATTTGGACTCAAATTAGAACATGAGAATTTTAGAGGAACTCTAAGTAGTGTAAAAAGAGAGTTTTGATTTTTGAAGTTTATTATTATTTGGAACTCTAGTAATTTACCTAGAAATATTGGTTAAAACTTGATTATATGGTTGAATTACAAGTTTGGATGATTTTTCTATTTATAGGAGAATTAATGCTAATTTTTGGAGTATTTTTGGTATGAGCAATCTGAATATTGGTTAGTTAAGAAATTGTTTCAGTTAGGAACTTTAGGTAAAAGAATCTTACATTTAAAATTTCATGATTATTAGATTTGATTTGGGTTACCTTGAAGTACTTCAGATTTTATTCAAAAAAAGGACTTTTTGACATGACTAGGAAAATTGAAACTTGTAAGCAATGAAGCACCGATACGGGTATGAGTATTGGATACAATACGGCATGATACATGGATACGACAATTTTTAAAAATTTTAGGATACGAGTATGACTATATAAATAATTAAATATTAAATATTTATATACATATATATAAATAATTAAATAATTAAGCAATATCAAGTGACAAAAAATAATGATAAGCTTAAATTAATAAATATTAAAAAATTGTAAACTATTTCTTGCGTATTTTAACATGAGAAGAATTAATAGAAATTTAAAATAAACAAATAAAAATTATTTAAATTCAAGCTTGCAATTATTGTAATTGCAAAGACTATATAAGAAAGCCAATTTTTTTTTAAATAGAATCATGAAAGGAAAAAAAATTAGAGTTAATGGATGAAAAGGAGAAACCAAACTTTTTTTTTTTGTTAATAGCTCTCCTATCGATCAAATCACTTTGTCTACATAATAACAAAGAATAGCAGCCAAGATCAAGACCTCTTGAGTTGCGACTGAGGAGGAGAGATAAAGAGCAACACAATGACTGAGGAAGACACTGAAACAGTGACTGAGGAGGCGGAGTTAGAGAGCGACAATGGCTTGGAGAGACAAAGCAACAGAGGAGAATATTACCTCGCTCGAGCTCGACAGAGAAGGAGGGAAGGACGGCGATCGACGATAGTGGAGGGTCGCTGGGTCAGAGCAGAGTGACACGAATCAGGTGAAGGACTTGGGAATGAAAGGGATCGGTCAGTGTTTGTGAAGTAGGGCATCCAGGGAAAAAAGGCCCGAAACTAGTTGCGTTTCATATCCTACCCGCATCGACCCGTGTCCTTCGACAGTCGCCCGTGTCCGCCCGTTCGCAAAAAAAAGAAGGGACATGTTGCATCTGCGTACAGGACAAGTATTCGTGTTGGATACATATTCGACAAGGACATGGCGCTGATTTTGGCATGTCCGTGCTTCAGAGCTTGTAAGCCTTTTAGTAGTTTCTGGAAGTGATTTTGAAATAAATAAAAGATTATGAGATGTTTAGGATTTACAAATTCATTTGGTAGGCTTGAATTGAAATTTCAAAAGAATGATTGGGAATTTGAGTGAGATTCTAAAGATGAGTATATTGGGTATTGAGCCTTAAATTAAGAATAGGAGATTTTGATGAAATGGTACCATTGGATGGTAAATTGGAGTTCTGATGGATTAGTTGAGCTTCAGATAAATTGAAATTAGATTGGAAAAAAAATTGACATTGACGTGAATTTTGAGGATTGAAATTAGAGTTAATTTAATTTAATCCTTTTAACTTTGTTTTAATTAATTGTGATATGAATTAGGTATATTTGCAATTGTAAGAGGTATTTGGCTCTTGAGAGCATTCAATGGTTGGTATTGTTTAGCTAAGGTAAGAGGTAACATTATATTATTCTTTCTTATACTGAAATATTTGTTGTTTTATTATTGTATAAATATATACACCCATGTGGAAATGTTTGTGCACATTGAGCACTTGTTGATTTTTTTATTATGAGGTCATGTTCGAAACCTTCTAGCATGCTTGTTGCTCTTTGAAATCATTAATATATTATTTTGTTCCTTTTAATCATGCTAGAGATGATTGTACTATTGTTATTTAGAGACTATTGATTTGAGAATGACTGAAATCCTTTTCAAGCTTGATTGTGTATCTTTTGTTATGAATTGAAATGAATTTTATTGTTTTCAAGATTGGTTATTTTCAAATGATTTTTGGAACATGATGCAATGAGAAAATGAAGTGGTTGGTGATTGATGTGATGACTATATGTGAGGGGTTGAGACTTGATATTCTGATTGTCACGTGGTACGCCTCCAATATGTGCATAGTAGTTAGCTTTCCATGTAGTTTCCTATTGCCTTGGTTTGGCTCTTGGGACAATGGGAACCTTTTTATGGAGGGGAGTCCTACTCTGTTGGCAATGTACGTACCTTTAGTTGAGTGTATCTATAGTTTAAGCTCTAGTTAGCAGTAATAAGGTGTAAGGGGAAAACATAAGGGTGTGGATAGGATAAGCATCTCTTTTTTTAATTATTATTTGATGTGAATTATTTTGTTTATAGAAATCTAGCACTCCCTTATTTGAGAAATGGTTTATGAAAGGATTTGTGAAAATTAAGTATATGTATCTAAATATGGTTTGCGAAATGGTTTTTAATTGATATGTTGGTGTAGGTAGAATAATCAATTATTGTTGAGGCATTAGATCTTACATGTTACCTCTTACCATTTTAAGTAATATATCTTATAGAACTTCAAGGAAGGCACTGGGGAAACGAGCCATTAGCTCCTTATCTCTTTTTGGCATGTTATTTTTGTTTCATGTTTCTGTTGCCATGACCTAGTACTAAATTGTATAACTAATCTATTTTGGAAAATTTTGGGATTTTATTTGAATTGTAGAAACTATTTAAATTGGGGGTTTGTTGTTGGGTTGTGAATTTTTTGAGAATAAACTGTGAAATTGGAAATTTGGGCTAAGCCTATGATATTCAAATTGTTATATTCAGTTTAAAATTATGAATTGTTTTAGTTATTATTATGGAAAATTTTGGGCTTGTTTTGGACTGTTGGCTGGGTTTGAAATGCCCAAAGCCCAATGGTAATTATTATTGGTATCCCTGTTGTTTTTTTTTTGACAAATTTTTGAAAAAAAAACATTGAAAATATTGATGAAAATATTGTTTTATTTGAAATTGTTGTGAAAATGTGTTGGAAACTTCAAGTGTTACACTTCCAAGCTTATCCTATACTTAAAGGTGAGAAAATGGGCAAGCCCAACCTTACAGGACCCATCCTTTAAGGGCTCAGGTCCTTGAACTTAGTTTTTCAAAAAATGATTAATTTTTGAAGCTTAGCCCTTATTTGAAGAGCTTAAGATGAGGCTTGTAAGCTTGTTTTATTTAAAAAATTTAATAAAATAAAAAATTTAATAAAATAAATAAACACAAATACATATATAGAATTTTAATCAAGTTTTAAAATGAAAACAGAAATTTTCAATCTAGATCAATCTTATCAAATCTGATAAGTACAAAAACTTATGTATCATATAATACAACATTAAGTAAAATCAAGAAATAGACCTTATAAAGTAATCCTGTTTAAGAAATTAATAAAAAATCTATCAATGTTGTATTAAAATAAATGACAAAAGAACCAACATTAATTATTTTGACAACACAATATTTGAAAAACCATCAATCTTTTTATTAACAAGGCTTGGAGGGTCATCTAAACCCAAGCTTTTTTTTTTTAGAGTTTATCAGGATTGGGCCTAAAAGCTAGGTTTCCTAAAAAACTATTAATTTTTCAAATCCGAACCTTTATTTAAACATGGCTTTTAAATTTGGCCGTTATTCCTGACTCTACCTATACCTCTTGTCTTGAACTCTATACCATGTCATTTACTTAATCAAAGTGAACAATAGATATAAGTTTTCACAAGCCTTCATTTCTTTATTTATTCAACATTTCAACCTATGTCACAATATAATAAAACAGTCAATTTAACCATAGTATGTGACAATTTAATTCAATTTATATAAGAATATTAAATCTAGGAATGCAAAGTGAAATGCAAAGCCAAGACATGAGTGGAGATACACACTTAGTTCCAAGTTAAGGTAAGATCACCCCTTAGAGAGACAACTTTAAAGTGTGCTTTTTTCAAATAAATCTCAACCTGCATTGAATCAAAGAAAACTAATTCTACCAATTATCTTGGCACTTTGAAAGACATAATTCCAATGCTCAATTGGAATGTTTGGAAAAATGTTCCTTTTATGCCTGTCGCACCCGGAAATGCGACGTGGACAGTGCGAGAACGGAGGTTCCAACCTTCGGGAAAAAGACTGGAGAAATGGGAGTCGCCACTAAGATTTTGAGGAAAATTTCGAAAAACCATTTAAAGGTGGATAAAAATGGTCTGCAAAAACAGGAAATAGGTTCGGGAGTCGGTTGAGTGTGGGGAAGGTGTTAGGCCCCCACAACACCCGTTCGTAAGAACGGTTACCTGAAGTTTGTTGTGCGATCTTAATATGGTTTTAAAATTATTTTAATTATCCCTTTTATATTCATGTGTTTGATATAAAAATGATAACAATTAAGCGAGAAATATTTATTTATTTACGGGGAGGACTTGACTCAGAATCTGACTCTGAGGCCTACGTACCCTGTGATGAGGATCAAAGTCCACGTAGTTCGGACTTAAAAGTTTGTTGGTAAAAATATTTTTTTTGAAGAGAAATTAATTAGAAATAATTCACCATTTTGCAAATAAAACAATTTCTGAAATTTTGATATGTGTGTTTTATTTGCAAAAAGTAATTTAATTTTAATTATTTTCTCAATTTTTGAACTTTTGGAAAAGAAAAGGATTTAAATTTTTTTTAT